CCTAAAATTATTTAACTAATCTCTTTGTATTTTGATGGGATAAAATAAATATTGTATTAAATAATTATCCTAGAATTAGATAGAATTTTATGTAGAATATTATTTTACTATTTTATGCAAGAGTTTGTACTCATCTAAATTGTCTCGAGAAAGGCTATAAATAGGTCTTTACCCATAAATTATAAATACACCAATTACAATCAATTTGAGATAAATTCTTGAAAGTTTAGCCTTTTCTTATATTAGTATTTTTGATAATTTAACTTCTTCAAGTCCTTCGAGACAGTTCAAAAATCTTATTGAACCAAGAAGCGGGGATCAACTTATCAGTAAGTATGTCGTATTTTTCTTTTCCTTATTTTATTTTTCCTATTCTTTATTTTTGCATTTCTTTTAGAATTGTAGATTCAATTAGATGGCAAATTTATCTAAACGGTTAAAGTTTTGGTATTCCATAATGTTGAGTGGGTTATAGGAGTTGATTCGATCCTTCCAATATCCTCTCGTGTCATCTGATATTAGAGCTTAGACTTCTATAACCCAAATCTATCTTTATTACTTTTAGCATTTTTGTTCTTTAATTAACAATTCAAATTAATTTTTTATTTGTTAATTCGTATTGTATCCTGCTTGAATTCATATCTATCCGTTCAATTCAAGTAGTTCGTGTTTATTATTCCAAAAAAAAATTTATATACATCAAAAATACCAAAAATATCCAGTGCACGTTATTTGCATTTTCCATAGCAAAAACATAATAGCCGTCTGATTGGTAATTGAAAATCCTTTGAGAAATTAAAAGTAAACTACGTTACCTAATGGATGCGAGCAAAAATTTTTGTTTTCATTCCGCACATTATCTATGTTTAATTTTCGAATTGCATTTGTATAATCTTACATCAACATTGCATAAAGAAACTTGACTGGTTGTAGAGTGTAACCGACCTATTGGCGGTAGTATAGATAAATATGCATTCCGATTATATCCAACGGGATTTTTCAAATCCCTTTGCATCAGTTCGTCTTGTCAATCTTTGTGATCTACATATCGTTCATTTTATTTTGGCTCCATTAAAAAAAGAAAGTTATTATTTGATTGACTAATCTGTTCTAATTGCTTGACACACAAAAAGCACACTATTTCTTCCTTTGTTTAATTTTGAGTTTCAAAAGAAATCAGAATTCTTTAGGGTTCCTTATTGCGTCATAAGCACTAACATGCAGACCCGATCAAGCAATTCCGATTCCGAATACTCAACTTGACAGACGAACATATCAATTGAGAGATTGTCAGGTAAACACGAGGGAAGGTGAGGGAGAGAATGCATTCTTTTCACTAACCTTTCTTGCAGGTACTATATTATGTCTCAATCCATCACAAATTCTCCAATTGGAAGTAATATCCTTATTATCCGAAGAGCTCTCAACATGTAAGTTAGAAGTGAAGACAACGAGCAAAGGGAGAACATTTTCCACATGTGATGTCTTGTCAATGGTAAGGTATGTGGAATGATCATTATAGTGGTAACTGTCCTAATGTGGCAAGCACTCTATTCGTGGAAAGAGCAGGGTTGACATGCATCAAGCATCTGGCTCCCTACCGGTTACAGTGGTTGAATGAGTGTTGTGAAGCCCAAGTTACCCAGCAAGTCATAGTGTCGTTCTCAATTGAAGAATATCAGGACGAGGTATGTTGTGATATTATACCTATGCATGCCAGTCACCCGATGCTTTGGAAGGCTTTTGCAGTTTGATAGACAGGTACAACATAGTGGTCGCACCAATCGATATTCATTGAGAAAGGACGATCTGAATCATGTCCTTACACCTTTATCACCAAAAGAGGTACATGAATATCATATCAAAATTAAACGATTCTTTCATGAATACTCAAGAAGAGCAGAAGAGAGAGAGAGAGAAGGCCAAAAAGGAAACTACTGGTCCATTAAGCATCGAAGAAGTCGGAAAGACAGCTAAAAAATGTCCATTAAAAGAAAAACAGAGAAAGAAAACAAAGAAGCGTCTTGATCACAGAAACACAATGTTAAGGAATATCTCTTGTAAAAAAAGAAGTTTGATTGTACTTGTCTATAAGAAGATTCATTTTGACCTTAACTACTTTTTGCATAGTTGTATTATTTTCCTCTTATAGATAATTATCATAGCAAGTGGGCTACAAAGATTTGATCCAAATCCCAGAAGAATTGTGAATCAAGTCATAACATGCATCAACAAAGTAAACATAACGGAGAAGTATGTTGTATTTTCTATTATTATCACTAACCATTCTCCTTTTGATGAAGGTCGAGGACCAATCTTTTTGAAGAAAGGAGGATGATGTCATATTGGATCACCCAAATTTGGTGTGAAGGGTACCAATGTACATCAAGGAAGAATCCTATAGGTCCCGACTCAAACAGGAAAGTAAATTCCAATTTCCTAAACAGGAACGCTCAAAACAAGAAAGTAATTTTATTCCTAATTACATTCTTAATTGGGATTATTTCAAGATATGAGTCAAATTTGTTCAAGCCAAAAGATGTCCAAATAAGATTAATGGGCTTGAAGAATTGTAAGAAATCTCATGCCCAGGAGAGATGGCCCACATGAACCAAGCGTGCGTAGCCCACATGCGCGCAGCATGCGCATGTGCACAGCAAGGCCAACGCACATGCGGACCCAACAGCTCCCGCACAGCCCAGAAGGCCCATAAGCACTGCACGCGGAACACAACCCGTAGGCCCGCTGTCCGCAGACCGTGCCGACCAGCCCACCCAGGTTACCCAAACCCGGCTGGCCCATTCTCCACCTTTTAATTAATAAAGTTATTTTATTTTTATTTTTTATTTTTTATTTTTTTGAAAGGCTTTGGGACCCACTTTTTAATTCACCATGTTTTAAATTAAAATATCACATGCCTAAATCAATTTTCTCATGTGTTTTATATAAAAACCACATGGGATAAAGACTTATCTTGTTTTAATTATTATTTTAATGTAAACTCTATCACTAGGATTATTTAATTAATTTCTTTGTATTTAAATTGGATAAAATAAATATTTTATTATGTAATTATTCTAAAATTAAATAGAATTTTATCTAAGTTATTATTTTACTATTTTATGCAAGAGTTTGTACTCATCTAGATTACATCAGGAAAAACTATAAATAAATTTTTACCCATAGGTTGTAAACACACCAATTATAATCAATCTAAAATAATTCTTGAAAGCCTAACATTTTCTTCTATTAGTATTTTTGTTAATTTAGCTTCTTCAAATTCTTCGAAAAGCAAAAATTTTCAGAAGTCTTATTGAGTTAATGAGCGAGGATCAACTTATCGGTAAATCCGTGACGTTTTTCTTTTCCTTATTTTACTTTCCTTAATTTTTGTTTTTGCATTTTTTAAAAAATTGTAAATTCAATTAGAGGAAAGGTTATTTAGGTGGTTAAAGTTTCGGTATTGCATAACGTTGAGTGGGTTATAGGAGTTGATTCGATCCTCCCTATACCCTCCCGCGTCAATTACACTTCACCATCATTCAGCCTCTCTTCCTTCCAGAATAAATGTACGCCTAATATGGTTCCCTTTCTCCTCAGTGAGCACAAGAAAGCACTCTCACTTGTTTCTCCCTAACACCAATCAGAGATTGATGACTATCCCCAATCATGCTTCTTCTCCAAAATCTCGTACCTTTGCTCCAATAAAATTCGCTAAACACTCCAACCAACCAATCTCCTGATCGCTTTTGTATGAAATGGTAACCCTAAACCCCCTACCAATGTCATACATTCTCACCTTATCCTCTTGCTTACCTTCACTTACCACATCAAAAGACTTATTTTTCGATCCAAATAAATCCACTGTGAGTTCCAGTCGTTCCAGTCATCTGCTTCAGCAGCTTCTTCAGTTGCACCACTAAGGAAATAAGATACTGTAGTAATAATAGATCATTGTTGCCGGTGAGTTCCAATTGTCTTAAGATATGAAGACAACCAAGGTTTATACCCAAGATTATAGTTTACACAACTGTAAAAATTCTTTTCTCATTGCTAAAATAACCGAGTTTGAGTGTTTATTTCTTTGTTAACCTACTATTGATCCTTGTACCAATTGGATATCAAAAGGTATTTTATGCATGATGATTTAGAGAAAGCCATTTACATAAAGCAAGCTTCACGATCTGTTCTTAGGAGAATTTTGGGGTTGGTTTATCAATTTAAAATATTATATGGGCTAAAACATTCTCCTAGATCTTTGATTGAAAAGTCAAATGAAGTTGTAATAGAGTTTGATTTGCATCAAAGTGGAATTCACTTTTTTCTCTAATTACTTGAATCAAGATTTTGTTAACAATTGTGTCCATACTGATGATATTGTCGCCAAAAGTGATGATAGTTAGGGGATCAAAGTTGAAACTTTTCCTTCAAACTCCATTCCCCTAAGATGTTTCTTGGGTCTTGAGGCATTCAGTCAAAATTGGGACTTTGTTCATCACAATCAAAAATATTTTATTCATCTTCCAGATGAGATAGGATTTCGGGTCTAAGACAGTAGTTACTTCCAGGATCATACTACCTTTTGTGGAAAGAAGAATTATTGGTCAGCTGCATGGGGAAGAGGAAACTGTTGCACAGCTGCGTATTAAATCTAATTAGCATAAAATCTGTATTTTCCTAATTTGACTAAAATCTGTAGCTTCTCTAAATCAATGGGATTCCTATATTTTAGGTCTATGTCTTAGGAAAGTCATCATTCTCCTTTAAGTGTAAAGGCCGTATAAATACCTTAAATATTGTTCATAAGCAGAATGTTTTCTCTCTATTTTCCTCATCTTTAAACTGGTTGCAAATTGATTTTAGAAAATAGAATGCAGTGTTTTACTTGGTAGATTTTCTCCTATAGACTAAGTTTCTTGGTCACAGTATTTCTTCAAACAGTGACAATGTCATGGGAATAATGTTGTAAAATAGCAAGCAATTAAAACCAAAAAGATGACCTTTGTGAAACCGGGACTTGCAACCACTGCACAACGAACAACATTGAAATCAACATGTTTCAGGAAAGCCTGTAAGACAAGAGACCGTTAGTACTCGTCAAAAGTCTAATTAAAGATATGACACAATTGAAGCCAGGGTTGGGCATCAGAGAAACAGCATGGTATTGCAAGCCCAAACTCAACTTACCTGTAAAACATTCTCAAAAAACCTTTTCAAAGCCTGCAGTAGAAGAAAATAAGAAATGAAATAAACTTGCCATATTGAGAACAATCATGACTTCATTTTCCAGGGATTGATGACTTGGATAAAAGAAAAAAGAACATACAGACTCATAACCAGCAATAGCAGGGCCATGTTTGCGAGGAATAGATGTTTCAATACGTGCTCGACTACTTGTCACACTGTTGCATATTAGCCAACAAAGCAACATAAGAAAAGGAAAAAAATTGCACAGAAACAGAACTAGCAATTAATGTGTAAACTCATCATTAGAATCCAGAATCACTACCAAAGGATATGTACAAGCCAGATATGTGAAGTGTTCAAATGTCTAGAATGGAAGTGTAGTCATGGTCAGATTTCAAAGCTCCAAGGAACTCAAGACAGATACTATTGCCCCCAATCCATTTACTCATCTTTTGTTAGCTAGAAATAAAAGAAACATGCTTTTGGTGGCTAAGTTTTTCAATAGAAGATAAGAGATTTAAAACTAGATTTTTTAGTGAAAGGATGTTTAAAACTAGACTTTTTTCTTAAGGAAGTCCAATGTCCATAAATTTTTCTTTGTATAATATCAAAGGAGGAAGTACATCAGAACATTAAAAAGAAAATAAATCATATTAAATAATATAATTGTTGACGAGGAAGTAAATTAACATATTAAATAGAAAGTAAATTAAAATGTTAAAAAGGAAATAAATCATGTAAAAAGGTATAAGGGCAAATTATACCCATTTTAATTAATTGTCTATTTTCATTTTTCATTCTGAAAAACTTGTACATATGAGCTGCAATATTCAATAGAATATAAAAAAACTTTAGAAGATATAGGTTAGCCTTCATAGCTGGCCATTGTAGACCAGCCACCAACTACCACTGTTGACCACCGGTAAAAGCCAAATCAGCCTTCATCGTCAACACTAGAACCCCCCAACCACGCTTCCAGTTGCAGATCGCTGATCTTCTAGTTGCATTCTTCTCTGTCACATAGAAATCCAACCAAACACGGCCATATCCAGACATCACCTACCATAACCAAACCCAATGACAGCCTGCTCAGAGCCAAACACCAGAAGAGGACATGACACCATCTGTCCATCTCGACTGCAGTCTCCATTGTCAGACGTGACACCATCATTAGACGCAATTTGTCAAGCAACCCCAGACACAATTGCCAGAATCCTAACTCGACTCTCTACGACTCTGCGCACAGACGCGTGCCATGACAGCTACTAGTCCAACCAGATGGGTCCAAACTTCATCTGTGTACTGCGACACTATACACGGAAGCAAGGAATTACCAAGTTGACTCAGTGAGTTTCAAGTCCAAGTTCACTTAGTCAATTCTGATCCGAGTTGACTGAGTGAGTTGACTCAACGCAAAACCAGTGTTTTCCTCACATAGCCACGTTACACCATCTGTCCATCTCGACTGCAGTCTCCATTGTCAGACGTGACACCATCATTAGACGCAATTTGTCAAGCAACCCCAGACACAATTGCCAGAATCCTAACTCGACTCTCTACGACTCTATGCGCACAGACGCGTGCCATGACAGCTACTAGTCCAACCAGATGGGTCCAAACTTCATCTGTGTACTGCGACACTACACACGGAAGCAAGGAATTACCGAGTTGACTCAGTGAGTTTCAAGTCCAAGTTCACTTAGTCAATTCTGATCCGAGTTGACTGAGTGAGTTGACTCAACGCAAAACCAGTGTTTTCCTCACATAGCCACGTGTTCCAAGTAAAATTCTTCTAATAATTTTTTCCTTTTCGATATTAATTACCATTCAATTCTTTAAGATATCGAATGTTAAATCTCAAAATACTGGAGCATATTTCCACATGGAAAATTTCACTTGCAAATTTCAGTTAATTTACAAGAAACACTATTTGAGCTAATCTCAATTAATTTGAACCACCCTAAAGGAAAAAGAGAAGCTCAGCCACCTTCTAGGTACCAAACTAACACTCAGAGACTACTTACCGATCAGTTCAACCTACTTACTGGTTCACAAGAAAAGACTATCTAAGCTGCTCTCAATTATTTCAAACCACCTTAACGAGAAAAGGGGAACTCATTCACTTTCTAGGTACCAAACCAACACCCAAAGACTGTACATTTGATCCCTAGGATAAAGAGGATTCCATTATCATACAGCACGCCTCTAGAACTCCATGACTCCAGATATAAACAAAACTATAACGTTCCTTTCTACAATAAAGGCAGTATGAGATGGAATTAGCGAAATCTATTCCAAAAAATCAAAGACACGATGCAAATTTATGAACTGACTGTCAAATATAGTCCATGAAATAAAA